TCCCTCTTTTTTTTTTTTTTTTTTTTGGCTGTTTTTTTATGAACAATATACATTTACAATTCATAATTCATATTGTATTTTCCTCCAATAGCGATGGCAGACAAAAAGACATCCCTATACAATATTGTCTACCATAAAACGTTTGATTCATAAGCTCGCATTACTTTTACGCTATTTTTATAATAAATTTGAAATTGTATTATATTTTATAGGACTTGTTGTAATAAAAATATTCTTTCTTCATTTTTCGTTCAGAGGAATGGGCTAAAGAAAAAGAAGTTCCCCAGTCTTTTTACGATATACTGATGAAACCTATTTTGTCTGTTACCCTTAATCGACGCGATATCTTCTGCGCAGCCGAGATGCTCACGTACAACCAGATCTATTTTTTAAGTGACGCAACCGTGAGTTGGCAGCAATGCTGTCCGAATTTGGAAAAATAACATTATTGTTATGCATGTCATATATGGCCAACAGTTATCATGGAATATTTTTTGTGAACTGTAGAATATCATAATAATAATAATAATAATAATAATAATAATAATAATAATAATAATAATAATAATAATAATAATAATAATAATAATAATAATAAAATAATAATAAAATAATAATAATAATAATAATAATAATAATAATAATAATAATAATAATAATAATAATAACAATAATATTTATTGCATTTACCTGTATTGTTCTTTTGTTTGACTTTCCATACCTCCATTACCCACTGAGCCACTATTTGGAGTATCCCGTCGAAATGAACATCATTTCTTTTAGTTCTCATGTCAACTTTAACTTTATTGTCAACAGTACATCGTTCAATTAAAAACGTAATTCATTGACAAATGGTGATAAGGTATACTTTAAAAAAAACTAATATAAGTTTAACACCTTCTTAAAGAAAATCACACCAGTTATTCTAGAATTTACAATGAGTTAAATAAATTAATTTGGACGAACAATAACGAAGTCTTGAAGTTCATATAAAGACTATATTTTACTCCATATCATGAGACATGAAGGAAACCTTAGAATTTAATAAAATTGATAATATTAAAAATAATTAAATAATTTACTTTAAATAAAACACAGATCGAAACACATCAATTTTAGTTGATTCCTCTGAAAATTGATCAGGCTTCAGCGAAGTCTATGCAACGACGAGTATATGAATTGTAAAATTATGCGCCTTTTGCTTAGCACACTATACTATCGTTCAACTTCATTGATAACTTCTGCATTTTAACTTGTATAAAGGTAGAACTTAAATTCAAATATCGAATTTCGATTAGGCTCAACATGGACATACATCATCTCAGCATCATCCTCATTTCAGCCATTATCAGCCTACTGTCGGACGAAGGCCTCCCCAAGCTCAAATTAATAGTTTTTTCTTAATTTATTCATTCTTATTTTTTGTTATTAACTGGTTATTTTTAAATCACGTTTTTTATAGGCTGATCATCGATTGATTTGTACCAAAAACTTTGGTGACGCTGTGATTGGACCATGGGTTGAACGATTACTCTCTTATGGTGTCAGGTAAGAAACAACTATTTAATTGGTACTATACCTTGATCATTGATAAAAATTAGAGTTAAAATCAGTGATGTATATCAAATTGAATCAAATCAAGAAACGATTTCTTCAAGCAAATATGCTATTCTTATTATAACTTTCTCGCAACCATTATTATCCTAATCATCATCATTCTCATCATTATCATCATCATCCTCATCATTATCATCATCATCATTATATTTCTCATATCCTTTTCATTATTATCATCATCATAATTTTATTATTATTATTATTATTATTATTATTATTATTGTTATTATATTGTTATTATTATTATTATCATTATCATTATTATTATTATTATTATTAAATTTTGCAAGGTACGATAGTATAATACATACTACAAGTATCGAAATGCACGCCATCGTGCATCGTGTCATCATTAATAATGACATAATTAATGTAGAAATATTGAATCCCGACACGATGACGTGCATTTCGATACTTGGTGATTATACTATATTATCTTGATATAAATCAGTGTACCTTTCGGTTTTTGCAAAGTACAACTTTAAGAACGAGGCTACACTGCATAGAACATTAAAAAAAATAGGCTAATTTTATGAGTGAGCAGTAAAACAATTATCGCCACTCACATACGTAATGTATAAACTGGTCAACAAACAAAAGATTCTGATAATATTTTAAATACAGCATACATTCAGAAGAAGAAAACAGTGTATGTTATGCGATGTGCCACAATTACATGCATGACTATTGTTTACGCTTCGCTTTAGTCCCGCGCTCATTTAGGAGGGTTTCACACCAATAAGTCTAAACACAAACCATCTAACTCGACAGAGCTTTGATGCTTCCATGCATTTTGGGTGCATTTGTGTTATTCTTAGCCATATTAATGTGCAACTGTTACTTTATTTCTTCCACTTCATTAAAAAGGTTATTCCCCAAGTAGAAAACGAAAAATAGAAATGCCATGAAGTCAATTAATGGAAATGGTTGTCGATTATATATAGCGCATGGGTACGTCTCTCTGCGCGCGGAAGAACTCATTCCAACAAACTACTCCCTGGAGTCGCTTTCTGCCAGGGGTTGATGCCCGTAGGCGCAATAAGGTCTCGTCCACAGTGACTGAGGTGAACTAATACCGGGGCAGCTCCCTGCTTATCTCGAAGAATGGTATAGGTTCATTGGGTGCACAGTGGCGTATCTATAAAAGTGGGCGTGGCGTAGGCCTACGCATCTCCAAAAAAAAAAAGACTGCGCATCCCCTCGCCCCCGCTGAAAATTAGCTGAGCATTAAAAAAAATCGCTCAAGGAGCTAAATATCACCTCATATCACCATATTATCCTGCAAACTAGTTGCCGCTTAGGCTACTCGAATTATGTTCTTTCCTCATTTAATCGTCGTAGTGTAGGCCTATAGTGTAAATGAGCTTATCCGATTTAGAGTCATTTTGGACTTTTTGATTTCAGCAACTGAACGAACCAATGCCGATAATAAGGTTGCTATTTGAAATCCCTCGCGCATACAACTCGTGTTCCCTGTGCATTTTTTAGGCTGGGATAAAATGAATATAGGCCTAATTGAAGCCTCTAATTCTCGTGTACTATTTCTAGAGCGTCATTCTCATTACCCAATCACGTGAATGGTACAGCGTAATTACATAATGTTGGATGTGACAAATTGATGTGTTTAAATCTGACTGTTGTTATCTTTCAGCATACGTTTAACTTCAGAGGTAGAAAGTTTGGTTTTCAACGAGGACGGGAGCAGGATAGTTTCAACGAATATAAATCCAGAAGAAAATTTTGATCATGTTGTAATGGCTGCCAGTTTAAATGGTGTTCAGAGCATATTTCGTACTACCGCAAGCAAATACCACGATAATAACCAGATAACACAGAAAATGGACTGTTTGCTACGGAAAGTTGGTAAACTGCCAATGGCTCCAATGTATAAAGTACTGCGAGTGTGGTTCGACAAACAATTGCAAAACAAACCAGAGATTTTAGAAACTCCACACCACCACCCAATTAATCTGGTTGTACAGTATCATTTACTAGAAGCAATCATTGCTGAATGGGCAAATCGGACTGGTGGATCTGTCTTAGAGTTTCATTTATACACTTGGAGTTATGGTGACATTAATGACGATGAAGTTTGGGATTTAATACGACCAACAGTAAAAGAAATTTATCCTGATATAATAGAACAAGATTTTAAAGTTTTAGCATACCATGTGCAAACAGCGGAAGACTTTCCTTCTTTCGAAATAAACACACATCAATTTCGACCAACTGCCACTTATCCGAATGAGTGCGAACTGCCAAATCTGTCACTAGCAGGAGACTGGCTTACCACTGAATTCCCTTCGGCGTTGATGGAACGGGCCGTTTCCACGGGAAGGCAAGCTGCGAACCACATTTTATTATCCGAGGGTGTTCGACAAGCTAATATTGTATCTATCAATTTAGATGGACCAGGGATTATATAATGTATGTTGTCTAATAAAATAAAGATTTTATTGTGTTTTACTGGTTGTTTTTAGTATTATTTCATAATAGATAACAATCATAAGAACTATTCAGTTAAGCTTCGCCCCTTGGATATTGTTACTATGGTCTGGACATGCGCGTAATCCTAGGCATGTTCTGATTGGTCAGTTGCTAAGTTTGACTGGCACTTCAAGCAGACCCATTGAGATCAATGCAACTTTATAAACTGATTACAAACAATTACGTCATTGTGAGAAAACCTGCCATGAGGTATTAAAGATAACCATTTTCTTCATGTGCCTATCTCAAAATATTTCATACAGGAGTTCAACGACATAACAAAGAGATTTTCCATAAATCTTAATGCTTGTGGCAAAACTGTCCTACTTAGTCCTACACTACAATACAGTGTGTTTTGTAAAATTTGTGAGGCGACAAATTGAAACAAGGTAAACTCCCAACAGAATGATATCAAATTGCATTTCAACATAAAGTTAAATATACCTGTAGCTATAGTAATTGACTAGGGCTTATACCTCAGAAAGCTTCGACGCCGAGTAACTCAATCCAGTATTGTGTTTCTCAAATATTTTCTCTCTAAAATGGAGAAAGTTTGTGATAGATGTTCGCAGATATACACACGTGCCGAAAGTGAGTGGATGAAATGAGGCCGCCATCACTATCAGAAACGCTCACTCCTGTACAGTATTGTACTTTTAATGGTCTAAAAAAAATACCAACACTTCCACCGTACGACAACCATAGCCTAATACACTGTGGTGACACCCCTACTACAGGGGAAATAATTCAGGGAGGGCAAAATTACCGTGACACCACAGGCGGCGGATCCAGGAGGATGTATAATGCAGTGACTGTTGACTCGAAGCACCAAACTAGTCCTATATATTCTGTGGTGGGAAGGTCATATGAATCTCCTTTTCCTATAAATAGGGCCCGGAGTTTTATCTAATCATATTTGAACGATGTCTTGGGTGCTGCGGCCGGGGGTGGGGTTTGTGGCGCAGCCGGAGAATGCCCCTTCTACCACGCCTCAATCCGCCACTGACACTAATCACCACCTCTGTCACCACTAGCATTATGCATAGCCCACTAACGCTGTAATACTGTATTATTACCATTTTGGTGAACTAAAAATATTTTACTCATAGGCCCTATTTCTTCATGAATAGCACTTGACATATTTTCTTACTGTGAACAAATAAAATGAATCTTGAATGTAGAACAATTAAACAAGATTCAAGAATCACTATTTGTTCACACGGTAGAAAAATGGGTTAAGTACTTTCATAAAGAAGAGTAAGTACATAGGCCTGCACATGTTCAGGCCTATTAAAAACATTCAAAAAATGTATGGCATATTTTCACACTGTAAACAAATAAACTAAATCTTCAATGTAGAACAATTAAACAGGATTCAAGAATTACTATTGGTTCAAACGGTAGTAAAATGGGTTAAGGACTTTCATGAAGAGCAAGAGTAAATACAAAGGACAGACAGGGGCAGGCCTATTAAAAAAACATTCAAAAAAACGTATGGCACTTGTGATTTATCTGTATTAATATTGTATAATAGAACATTAAAACATTTATTAAAATTGTATAGGCCTATTTACAGCGAATAGTGAAATGAAGGAATAAAAATGGGACAACCACATAAAAGGCAAAATGTGCAGAACAGGTTTAGGGTGTTCAAGCACAATTACCGGCAAAAATTATTTATGAGCACATAAATAAAATTGTGGTGTTTTCAACCATTTCACTCTTAACTAGCAATCAACCAGCACTGGGCGGGAAATACCTACTTCCGTTTGATATAGGCCTAAATGAAAGAGAAATTCTTTCGGCGAATGAAAAAACGTAAGCGTGTCAGAGTCGGTCACGTGGTCTACTATGAGACACCTGCCGGTTGCTGTGTAGGCCTATCATTTAGTCGCACACTTGTGAAACGATAGCGTGTTAGTCAAAAAATATATGGAATATACTGAATACTGTAATGTATACAGCAACTCGCACAAGTTGGTCACAAGCAGGAATTAATTCGCACTAGGTAACATTCGCACACTCCTCTTCAACATCGTCCTCTTGGTTCTATATTTAGGTCAGTGACTCCATACTAACCCACCGACCGTTGGAGTTGAATTGACGATCGTGATCAGGGAGGCAGAGTGATGCTAACACTTATATCAAAATGGAAGATACCTATAATAATAGTAACCATGGCTACGTTAGTTACTTTTTGGTCGAGGGATACATTTGATCCAGGTAAGATAATTATGCCTTATATGTTTACTTATTTATTCGGAAATATATATCTTTATGTTATCATTCGAGAAATTAACACCGAGCAACCTGGCTTGGGCCTACTTGATGATCGTATCTACTGGGCCTATTTTATTAATTATACAACACTGTATAGTTTTTATTTTTCATAAGCAGTACCTCTGTATAGCCTATTATGTGTCTGCGTGTTATAGGTAGACCTATATATTACTTTTCAATTTTATATATTATACTGTGAATATATAAATTACTTAATTATATAAATTAATAATAAATACCGGTAATCCAGAAAGACGTTTCCATGTATCAAATGAGAAATCCTTTTCGGTTACCAACCTTTGTCCACCTTAACAAGGGTTGATAACGGAAAAAAGTTTGCTGTATAAGCCCACTGATAAATAGGCCTACATAAAGCTGCAAACGCAAATAAATCAGCCAAAAAGAAATACATAATTTCCGGATAATACAATTCTTTGTCATCATTCACGCATCCCTGGGCAGTGTTAACAGCCTGTCTCTTATACACATCTAGATGTGTATAAGAGACAGTATATATACATATATGTATATGTACATTTATAGTATATTTATATAGTATATTTACGCTTCGCTATAATACAGGTGTTGCCCCGCACATTGGCGTATTGTTCCTCTATTTATCTGTTCTGTAGTAGTGTAGGCCTACAAGTCTGAGAAATATATTTTCTGATAGAAATAGTTCTGTTCCATTCATACGTTGAATGTAAATGAATGCTGTTTAATGTATAGGTCTGTAGGGTCTGGGTTTAAAGGAAGTGGTTGATTATGCCACCTCTATCTATCTCCTTTTCACATTGTTAACGTCGTTCTAGCTGTTTGGTCGATGAACTAATGTGATGGTGAATAGGCCTAGCCCAGGAAAACATCACTTGGGTTACTGTGGCATCGACGCATTGTTATCAAATCCATTTATTCCGAGATGAATGCTGCAATGAACAACATTTATTAAAAGGTGTAGTTCGATGTGATTTTGATAGAGCAATGTTAGAGAGTACACTGACCCTGCTCAAACCTGTCAAACAACATATCAATATTTGTTTTGGATGAGAGGGGAGATTTCTCTATTGATCGCCGGAAATGTATCGATTGATCTCCATTGTTTTATCGGTCAGTCAATTGTTCATTTTTTAAAGAAAGTGTCGAAAACAGAAACAATATATCCTCTTTACATTGAAAGGATTTCGATACACAATTAGTAGTATAGTAGCCTATGCATCTGTTTACTACAGACTCTATTATGGATACATGTGCCCATAACACTGAACTAAACATTGTGACAAACACAGGCCACACATATTATTATTATTATTATGCTTCTTCTTGATTATTATTATTATTATTATTATTATTATTATTATTATTATTATTATTATTATTATTATTGTTGTTGTTGTTGTTGTTGTTGTTGTTAATGTTAATGTCATTGTTATGAGGCCTATTGTATGGCCTATTATTATCTTAATATTCTTATTTTTAATCCTATTAATACTACTGTTATTACTTTTTTTTTTTTTTAATACTATTACATTTTATTATCATCATAATCATAAAATTATCTTTATTATTATTATTATTATTATTATTATTATTATCATTATCATCATCATCATCATTGTCAGCATAATGATCATCAATATGTGTACTATTAATAGCCTATTTCATTACCGTATTTTATCTATTATAATCAAGACAATTGGCATGTATTTCAAAACATAGGCTAGACGTCGTACAGTCGAACTTCGATTGTATAACTTTTGGCTGTTGATCTTTTGTTTTGACTATTTTTGTCTGATTTCACACGAAAAACCAGTACGCTACACTGGCTGGTATTAATCACCACAGCAGCAGGCCGCCAATCCAATAAAGGAAGAAAAACAAATCCCAACGATGGACATATTTTAAAACAACTTAATTTCTTTTGTTTTTATAAAATGATGAGGCCTGAGAACACATGGTGAGGAATGCCTTCACAGCAGTCTGTCAGTACTGTATTCATCTCCAGAAATCCAAATTCGTTCTTTTTTTAGAGCAAGTTCATTGTTAACATTGGCGTCTTTGTCAAGGGCGGATTTAGGGTGGGGGAAGGGGCAGGGAAAGTAAAAAATAAGGAAAATAGAAAGAAAGAAATTTAAAAAAAAATTAATTGCCTAAAACGCCTTACATGTTATTTTCGGGCGTCAAGAAAACAAAACTTTCGGGGGGCCCCTACCCATCTCCCCCATCTCTAGATCTGCCCCTGCTTGTGGAGCTAATACGCTTGAACAAACACTTTAAATTGCTTAATTTGCATAGTCTATTTAAGTAACTTACCTTTAAAGTAATTTATTTCCTTTTAAATTGTTAAAGCTGAAAAAATTACCTGTTACCGGTAACCTATCAGTTCCATCAGCAGTTCGACGACCATGAATCTCTATATCGCTGCCTTCTTCACACATTTTTGTCCAGTCTTTGATGTTGTTCGTCCAACTTGCTAAAATATTCAAAATATTAAATATTAGAGGCAAATATTACTATTGGGCAAATATTATGGGCGTATAAATAATAACATTTCTGCATTCTTTCCATACCAGTATTATACCCTTAAATTGGCTGGTTATCAAGTTTTCGTGATAATGTCTGTAAATTAATCGAAATCGACCTGTATCCCATTGCTTTAATGGAGTTTTCCAAATGTTACCACCACAGTGTGTAGTAGGCCTAGGTCTATATTTAACATCCTAATAAGACACTTCTCAAGAATAGAGTATTGTGTGGATCCCAAGATCTCGAATGAATACAGAAAAAGAAAATAATATAACGAAAAAATATAGCAGTAAATTATTTTATTATTCAATAGTAACAGTGAGTCAGCTTCCAATGATGCGGTACCTACAAGTACCTAATGTAGAATTGTAATTTTTAATGTAGGTCTAAGTTAAATTGAATTGGTGTGTAGTACTATTTAAATTCGCAAAATGTGTCTTCCATATCGGCATTATAAACATGGCATATCTTTACAGTATATTGCTATCCTATAAATGCATTGTTACTATTAAAACCTGTAGGTTACATTGCGGTGCAGTGACTGGTGGGTTTCGGAGGTTTATTCGTTAATCAATAAATTAATGTCAATTGCTTTCTCAATTTTATCCCACAACCTGATAACATGTGTACACAAGTGGTATTATTGGTGGTAACATATCTACAACGTGATGGTAGGTCATTCTCCTTTGTTTTTTTCCCAAATGAATGTACTGATTACAATAGTCGTAAGTTTAAAAATTCGACTAATAACAAATCCACATTACGAATCAAGTAGGCCTAGAGATTTAAAAAAATGGCTCCATAATTCGATCGAAAAAGAGTTTAGCTACACCAGCAAAGGATTAGCAATATTGTTAGTTTAGACCAACAAAGATAATTCGATTCACGGCCATTGAAAAAGAGTTAAGCTACACCAGCAAACGATTAGAAATATTGTTCGTTTAGACCAACAAGTGATAGCCTATAGCTATACTGGCCTACTATAATAACGTTAAAACCACCGCAAAACATGATTAGTTGCAGTACACACGTGGGATGCCTGAATATTATAGCCTCATCAAAAATACATTATTCATTCCCATAAGACCCATTTTATCGTGAAATAATCAAGAAAATAAGCAATCATTTTTGGTTTTTTTTCTATCGCTGTTCGGTCGCTGTTCCAAAGTAAACTTGTGAGTCCTCGGGGTACACTTTACCAGTCGTCTTATTAGCATGGTTGTTATACCGACGATTGGCAAAAAAACTAAAATCTATAATCATTGCGGATATAAATCAGAATAGGCCTATTTAAATTCCTTGCTGGCAGGTCATAGGTCGATAATGGCTGGTTTTAGGTATAAGACGAACAATGTGTTTATAAAATGATAATAAAGATATAATATTTTCTTCAGAAACAATGTCCATGATACACACCGGAATATTTAATTTCTCTCCTTATTTCGGAATTCATATATACTGCCTATTAATATATACTTATATATACATATATATATATACATATATATATTCATATATATTCATATATATATATATATATATATATATATATATGTATATATATAGTATGTATAGGCCTATATGTATGGCTATAAGGATATATACAGTAGGTAAGGACCACAATGGTAGTAAGTTGACCTTACGTGTTACTTTCTTGTGTAATTTTATCCTTGAAATTTTGAATTATTTTATGGTGTATGAATTTCGAGTAATAAAAGCCTCTGTCCCACAATCTGAGCCCCACCATGATCTGAGCGACTATAATCAAAAACTGATGCGAATGCCAACTGACCGTTCACTTCATTCAAATTGCTGCGTGGATGTCTCTAACCTTCTCTGTAGTGTTCATTTTTGTATTTCCCACGCGAGTTGTTACACGCATCGATGTAGAGCGACCTTAACAAATTATCCCCGCATGCCGACAGGTAGGCCTACACGTGGCCACGCCTTGGTGCGCATATCTACCCCAGGGTACGTGTACCTATCAACGACTGAAGCAATATTCAAGCCAACTTTGTAATAAATTACAGCATGTTATATTTGTACTGTTGTAAACGACAATAGAGTTTTCTCGTATCTCGTCTAAGTCCCATTACAGTGACTTAAAGGAAATTTATTATCCGATTAATAAGGCCTGTAGCATAATATAGGTCTATCACAGATGTATCTTATCAAAGTTCATACTGGTAATAGTAACATCAGGCCTAACTTTATTATCTCCCTTTTGTAATGAGAAGTGCAACAAAAACCATGAAAAACCTTCTAACAATCATGTGAAAATTTTAAAGAAAATAAAAGAAAAGAAAAAACAGAACTGTAAATACATAAAAAGTGGTTAAACATTAAGGTGAAATGAAAAGTATATTAGGATTATATAAAGAAAAGAAAAAAAGTGAACTGTAAATATATAACAAGTGATTAAATTTTAAGGTGAAATGAAAAGTATATTAGGATTACATAAAGAAAAGAAAAAAGTGAACTGTAAATATATAACAAGTGTTCAAATTTTAAGGTGAAATGAGACGTATATAAATTAGGATTACATAAAACAATTATAACACTATATTAACTGTGTAATAGAAAAGTATTGTAAATGCCATTTTATAATTATTGCATGGTAAACATGTTGTTGTATTTTGATATTCATTATGGTTTTCAAGATAGTCAAAATAAAGATGGTAGGCCTATTTAATTTAAGTTTAGTTTAAATCCAGTAAACCCCAAATATATTCAATACAATTTAGAGCCCTGTAGGATGCACATGAATAGTATTTAGGCCCTATTCTTCCATCTCTTACATTTTTTTAGAAGAGAAACGCGAACACCACTTCCTTTACAAGGCTAACAGCTTTGTCTTTTTTTTGTTTTGTTTTGTTTTATTACAGTCATCCAGAAAACTGAACGACAGACAGCTCATGCTAAATAACTCAAACAGACAAGTGGTGCTGTTGTATGAAGTAATCTCTAAAGTCTGGAAGTAAAGAGAGGCCCCAATCATGGTTATAACTTATTTTTACACCTCCCTGGCTAATATACAGTCTCACTCTATTACTGCGGTCAGCGCAGTTGTCATGCAGTGGACGGTGGCATAGCCGAGAAACTAGCTCTTGGTGGACCCCACTGGAACCCAGCATACTGCCCTATCGTCATGCGAGGGCCTCAGGAGACAACTGTGCTGTCCTGATATCGAATGATTCACCATTGTATGTTTATTTACTTATAGGCCTATATATATTTGCTTATTTCTATATATATTTATTTATTTACTTATTTATTTATTTCCTTTTCTTTCCCTTTTGACCACGACATGAGTGCTGTACAACACATTGTGCGAGTATACTCAACTGAGTTTATGCACATTAACTGAAGATGATGATGATAAATGAAATAGAAAAGAGTGAACAATGAGTTAAATGTCACTCTATCTAGAGTGAAATTTATATATTTTTTTTACTTTTTTTATAAATAAAAATCATACTTTTAAGAGTGAATTTCTAATTTGACTCGTTTGTATTTAGTTAGGATTGAAGTACGGCGTATGTCACTGTAGTTACACGGTCACACACGAGCTTATGGTCAAGAGGTACAACTCTCGTTTGTAGGCTTCCTTTTTCGCACAAGGCCACAATTTTCTGATTCATAGATTGCTAATCGTAAACTACAAATGATTCACTAACAAATCATCGCTTTATTATAAATATGTCCATTTATGTACTTATATGAATATTGTGGTACTGTTACGTATGTTGATGAGTGATTACTAATTTATGTTTCGTCTCTTTGTCCTCTGAAACTTTGTTGGAAGTTGAAATAATTAGCATATCGTCTGTGATGAAATCCATATTAAACAAGTTAAGTAGGGCTTCTTATTGCTAGATATGAACACAAATTAAAACAAAATAAATGGCTTTAATATTAAAACTACTAAAACAAAACTACTACTACTGATACTGTTTAAAATAACTAGCCAATTTAAAGATGTATTGTCCACTAAAAGGGACACAAAATTATTTACAAAATAATGAAAACACACTTACAGTGACTGGAAGTGTTTCTATTATTTTTCGCCATAAATGGATACTGTAAACATTTTGAAATACACAATTTCTATGGTTCAATGTGATAATATGTACTACTTAATAATTTTAATGATAAGCCTGTGTGTTGGTATTTTTCATGGGAAAATACGTCTTCAATGCTCTATGCGAAGAACGGAGGAATTGGATTATTTTACGCATTATTTGATTAACAAAGAAAACATTATTTGTTCTACTTTTCAAAAGTGTTATATTCAAATATGAAAGTTTATTTTATCAAGGTACCGTAGGCCCTATTATTTAGCTAGCTCAACATATGCGATCCATCTCCAACATTTCATATATGACTCGCCATACACTAACAGGATGGAAGAGTTGTTCTATAGACTCATGGACAGTTACAACTGGAAGTACTACAGACACTAGGCCTATTATAGATAAAGTTAGTAAATGGTATAAAAATAATCATCTTTCTATAAATGCTGACAAAACTAAAGCTATGTTCCTTAGAATTAATCCCAATATTGTAAACAATGTATTGGATATTAAAATTAGAAATTCAAAAATTTAAACAAGTAAAAAGCATAAAATACTTGAGATTGAAAAATGATGACATGTTGACTTGCAAAGAGGATACCCAGTCAATTAGTAAAAACGTTGGATATAAAATTACAATGCTTGGTAAAACGACTGGTACTTTAAATAAATCACTATTTACTATTAGAAATTCTGTATAAAAGTAAAGGTCATTCATCTAGTGACTATGCTATAACGGTTTGGGGAAATAGCTCAGAACAAAATAAGAATACTTTTAAAAGGCATCAAAAAAGAGAGCAGCTAGAATTGTCAGTGGAAATTTTGATTTTATTAATGTCAGAGGTGATAATATTATTAGAGAATTGTCTTGACAATCATTTGAAGAAAGAAGAGACTACTTTTTACCATGTTTAATGTACAAATGTGTACATTATATCTATAAAATATTAAAAATAATCAACACTTTCTCACAAACACCTACAGAATATACACACACACACCATTAAAGAAAATCACGAGAAACATACCAAACGGGGGAATACAAAAAGATATTTATAACTATGAACAGTAATTACTTTTTTAATATCTGCCTCTCAAGACAACTTAAATTCACTCAACTGTGGCACGTTGGTTTTCACAATTCTACGATTATGGTTTCAACAAAGTCTTAATCATTTTACTCAGACTCCTTTACAAAGCATTAAAATAGACTTGGCTTTCCGGAATATCAACTTAGAATTACTCATTATATCTTCGTATTTTGTACAATATTTTGATATTGGATTATGTATTGTATATTGAGTTAATAAAAACAAACCATTTGTTTTTTTATTTTGTATAATTTCATTTTCATTATATGCCTATTCTATATTTAAATAATAGGCTGATATCTAGTTCTCTTATTACTATATTAATGTTATAAAAAATAAAGTATAGATTTTATACGGTAGTTAATTCATTCGCAATGCAACTGATTCTTACTTAGTTGCACCCAATGCACATAGTACTGTGCTTTTAAATCTATTCTACATCCAAGCATATGGCTTTAGACGGCGTATTCATTAGGCCTACAGTACCATACGTCTCTCTTGTTGATTATTTAGTATTTCTGTTAATCAATGTACTGTTAATCAATCTACTAAGAGTCAACTCAAATTTATTAAAGGGATCGTCTATGGTGAAATCTGATTATTTTTCAATTAAAACCTATCATTTTTTGTTAGAATCAACGTGCTGCTAAACGAAGCACATTGTATGAAAAAAGTTCAGACAACTACAACATGCGCATGATTTATATACTTTCTTTATAGTAAGATTTTTGTTCATCGCACATCAGTTTGGTATAAAATTGTTTTTCTTTTTCCTGTATAGCGACTCAAAATATTTATGTATGTGACAACCAGTAACACTACGCGCAACGCTGCACTTTCTTGTATTCAATATCATATCCGAAATTTAGCACCTCGTATTGAGTTAAAGCACGCACGAGAATGAGTCACTATGATATGAAAACTTATATTGGCCTAAAAGTAGCTAATGTGCTGCACAGATCCAAGTATTTCAAAATCTCGACAAAATGTCCAATGGCAAGGTTCAACGTTCATTAAGCCAATGGCTTTGACCTTACCACAAATCTGTAACATATTTAGCCTTATTTGATTGGTCGTAAATTATATAGATTTAAAGGGACATACTAACAACTTCATATGCGCTAAAATGCAAGTATTAACATGATCACATCGTTCCACCGGGAGGGAGAAATTTTACCCAAATTGGTAGTTGGTCCCAGAACTCAAACATTATTGTAGCACGTCCCACGGTTAATACGAGTTGAACGGATGGCCTAATTGCAACTGAGGTTCAAATACGTATTGTAATGGATACCATATTTTATTTTATTAGAACTATAGTAAAATAATTAACTTTTCAATTATTTTTATCGTCTGCTAGAAACCATCAAGGGCAAACGAGTGTTGATAACGGGCGCCAGTAGTGGTATCGGAGAGGCAGTAGCATACAAGTTTTGTAGCATGGGAGCTAAAGTTTTGGTGACTGCTCGCAGAGAATCAAGACTGCAACAAGTAAATATTTATGATCATTGCTGATTTTGAAAATACATCTTCATAGGCCAAAGTGATAAATGAGTCGCTGAATGGTTTATATAAATTGTGGTTCGAAATGAAAAAGAAAATAATATTCACACATCTACTTGATATGTCAAATTCAAGAATTGTAATTAGGTCTACATGATTAAAATTCATTATTAAATTAAATCAATATTTAGGTCTTAAATCATGTATGTGTTTTTATTTGTTACATTTTATGTAAGCCTATAATATAACTTTACCATTAACAAATCTAATTTACAATGAAAAAAAATCTAATCTAACACAATTAAATTGGCATAGATTTAAAAAGCTCTGAAACCATTGTACTAGAGTGTCACGATAAGTATCTCTAGATATTACTAGGATTAATCGATATTCGTTTATCTTGATGATGTTTGCGTTGCAACCTCGATGATCTAGGGGTTATGACACCAGGCTAGTTATCTGGATATCGTGGGTTCGATTCCCATCTGAATAAATTGTGAGAACATTTGGAAACGTATTGAGTACCGTATTCAGCACGAAATACGACAAAACTTTATTGCAATTTTCATCAAACTATACAATTAAATTCAAATTGAAGTTAAAGTAATCGAAAAAAAGTCACATTCAAAAACTAACAATTAAAGTACACCAAAACAGTAAAACAATGTATTAAATTCTGATATTGATAATAAATAACAACCCTTAATTTAATAAATAACAAACTTTAATAAGTTAATTTAAATTATATGTATAAGATAAACATTAAATCCAAATAACACGACAGAATTTTAAATACTAAAAAATTGACATTTATTATTATTATTATTATTATTATTATTATTATTATTATTATCATCATTATCATTATTTTGTACGAATTCTATTGAGGATAAAAAGTCAGGTTGTGCAAAATATCATTCCTATGATAAGCCTTCGTTTACTAACCAGATTTGTGTCTAACATAAAATCCTTTAATAATCAACGTCAATTGATATCATACGAGAAAAAAAAATTAAAATTTCTAATTGGCCTACTATAACACAAAATTAAGGTAGCAAATAAATGGATAAAGAATATACTACTACTATTCGGTGCTGTATTGTTTTCCTTCATTCTTAATTTCTCCCATTTAATAAATTATATCGAATTTGGTCCGTTTGATATTTCGGATTGAATATACTCAATGTCATATTCATACAATATCTTCTTTTTTAAAGGTAATGAAGCAATGTAGAAAATTGGGAGCAGAATCCGCTTATTATATGCCCCTTGATATGTCAATTCCAAACAACACCAGGCATCTAGTGAATGAAGCTGTACAAAGATTCGGTGGCATTGACTACCTTATCTTAAATCACATAATTTCATACAGCTTTGAGTTTTGGGAAGGTGACTTCGATTATCTAGAGAGGACGATGACGGTGAACTTCGGAGCGTATGTTGCCTTGGCAACGTTTGCAACGCCGGTGTTGGAGAAGAGCAAAGGCAGGATAGTGGTGGTCTCGTCGTTATCTGGTGATTTGATTTTTCAATTTAAAAAATTTGGAAACAATCTTAAAATATTATCAGTTGACATCTGACCAATGATACGTTAACTGGGGTGTGTAGCTGTAGGGGGTTAAATATCGTGTCACGGGTGTCAATTGAAACAGGTGTTTAGTTCTAGGAACACCGCCATATCATGAGCTTTATAGAAATGCGAAAGGTTTGTATTTCTGTAGCGCCTTCCACAATCGAAATCAGTCAATATGTCTATATACAAACATCCACTATATGTTACATATACGTATATATATATATATATACACATATATATATACGTATATATATATATATATATATATATATATATATATGTGCTCCGACGGGATTCGAAAATTTGGGTCTTTAGCTATCCCATAATCTTAATTAGGAGTGGTGGGAGTGGTGGGGGAGGGGGGTTAGGAATGACATCTAGCACCGATTTATCTTGAAATACCTAGTTTAATATTATACGAACAAGTACAAAATGAAATGAAGTAGTAATCGTTTCGAGATTTTGTTTTCATTAATTTGTTCATGCTAAATGATCGTTTTACCCCTTACCTTGAGTGGTCTTTGGCCTTGTTTGGAGTGATTGATAATGTAGAAAAATAAATAGTCAGACATTCAATCACGGACTAAAAATATCTACCATATTCGATTTATCCAGAAATATAATTTTTGAAGTGTTAATCAATCGAAACAATATTAAGTCTATTATGTACTTGTTACTGTATTGATTAAAATGTTTACTAATATACAATAATATAGGTTTACCGGCATCCAACATAGATTGAAACTTCCAAAGTCCATTTCGTCATAAATTTATGTTTCATCTTGTTTAACAGGTAAGGTACCACTTCCACGAGTCGCAGCCTACAGTGCTTCTAAATTCGCCGTCAATGGATTTTTTGGCGCGTTACGTCAGGAGCATCAAATGAAAGGCATCGACGTATCGGTGACGCTATGCATTATAGGTGAGGTCATATTTCAAAAGGTTCATTAATAACATTACAAATACTTAACAGTTACATACAAAATTACTTACTTTTCTTTCTGTTTAAGCATCATATATTTTAAATCATGATAATAACCGAAATATGCCTAGTGGTAGCAGTAACAAGTAGTAGCAGCAACAGGTAGTAGCAGGAACAGTAACAGTAATAGACGTGAACAATAATAGTAGCAGAAGTAACTGTCGAAATAAGTAACAGTAGCAATAACACTACAGTAGCAGTATAGTCGGAGTATCAGTAGTATCGGCAGTAGCAGACAGTAACATGTCTTTAATTTACAATGATTATGCCCAAATGACAATAATAATTATAATAATGATAAATGGCAATAACAACATAATTATAATACTCTAATATTTTTGTTAATTAAAATATTATTTATAGCATCATATTGTCATCATTATTACGATAATTAAAATACTGCACTTTAACCAACCTACTTAGATGACTGACAAAATTCACAAACGTATTATTAAAATTAGTGTTTTAAACTGTAAAAATACTTGTCTTCAAATCCACATTACTAAATATTTCGTCAATTTTTTTTGATAGCGGAATAGATCGATCAATCAGTTCAAAACCATGTGTATTTTAAAACAAGTTGAACATGTACCGTACTTGTTTTGTAAAAACTGAATGAAAAAATGTGGGGATTTTTTCCGTTTCCTAGGCCCGGTGGCAACAGAATCAGCCATTACAAGTTCAACTGGGGTCATTGATAAACGAATCTTCTTCACATCGACATCAGAAACTGCAGACAAAATTGTCGAAGCGGGAGCTTTACGATGGCGGGAAATTCATTATCCGAAATCACTGACAATATTTCCAGTTCTTCTACGAGATATCGCACCTTGGTTTACGGAATGGTGTACAACGTTAAGTCACATACGATCTTGAAACGTTAACTACTTTTAATAGTGACGTATTTTGTCATGTTACCACCCCTTGTTGCCACGCGAAAGCGTATGAAAGTGGAAAGTTGAGACTACATAGCAGCAAAATTATTGACCATAACATAAGTTAAAGCCAGGCTCCGGAGAGAAACAAAATTGTCAAAAAATGACAAATGAAAGAATAGGCCTAGTATTAATACCCTGTTTCCACCCATATTTTATAGTCAAAAAATATGTAGGTACCTTATTAGCAGTTCCCGATTATTCTTCAAAGACACCTTCAGAGTCCTAGAATATTCATTTGTACAACATGTTTCCTCCCGGGGCCAGGCTTTAATCCGGCCGAGGCTAAACTGACTTTTTATAAAAGGGAAAATTATAAGTAGGCCTACTTAGATGTTCTGAAATCGTAGAAATGAATTAATTATTCACATACACCCGTCATACAACGCAATGAGAGTTTAACAGTTAGCTAATTGATTCACTCTTATAACAAAGCATCGGTTTAATATTACATAAATTCTCCTGTTATACTGCTACTTCATGCGTCCTTAGGAGGACGGCTTTACCCACCAGAACTGGAACGTGAAAACCTACACGCTATCACCGACAGCTTATGGGGACGCTGATCGGACGGTGGAATCGGCGGCCTTCCCAGTTGCGACGCGGACAGCTAAACAAAAATTGCACTCTCCTGCAACTTGTAGCGTTTTTTGTTTTGTTTGTTTTTGTTTGTTTTTTTTTTTTGTTTTTTTTTTTTTTATGAAAACAAGGATTAATGATGGTACCTTCTTACATAAAATCAAATTTAAAATAAAACTTAAGCCCAGGCTGATATTTTGATTTAGATGAATGGGCCTATAGACAAAAAATTCAAATATTGCTTAAATAGTCTAAGGTTAGTAGTTTTATAAGGGTTTATATTATATTATTATTGAACTCAAAACCTTGTGACAAGTTTATCTAGACATCGTTACTTAACACCTTGAAGTGTCCGCTGTAAGTGTTAGGGCTATTAATTCTGTAATTTATTATATTGTACTAAATACAATAATATGGGTGATGATAGGTCTATAAAAACAAGTAAAATGGGAAAATTGGGGACAGTGCCGGGGAGTAAAGTGTCTGAGAATAACGAATACAAGATATAATTAAAGTTTGTTAACCTTGTCGTAATATTTTCGTTTGCTCTTCTGTTTTCAATACAAAACTAAAATAATAGATATTCTATAATTCCAAAAGCTGTGTTCACTTTACATCAATGGGTAAAATCCTACCATTGTTCAAACGTGGAGTTAAATGCGCAGTAGCCTTTAAGGTGGCATGACTTTTAATCGTGCATTATCATTCTAATTGTGGATACGTTCTGCGAAATGTTAAGTGACGTGCGCGATACAGTAATAGCTTGCGCTAAAAAAAATTCAAATTCAACTGAGTTGTGCACGCATTACATTTTTCTGCTCAGGAAAAACGGTACATTCTTTCTGTGCAAAACTCGCTCCATTAAACTTTCTAATCGACATGAGTAATCTGATCAGTTTATGCATACTGTTCACACAGGAATTTTTAGGGGATCAAACTGACCAGACACACTGCTTAATTTGACCAATTAATAAATCCACAGAAAAAATGGCCTTAATTCATTTTATAATAATTTAAATGTATTTGATTTTTATAAACAATTGTAAAAATGTATATAAAGCAAGAATACATAACTGTTTATGTTATAAATTTAGTTCAAGTAAAAAATATTTTAGAAAGATGTGTTGTTAATAGTTAGAGGAATGGGAACACCCATAGCCATCAGAAAGTTTACTATGTGGTGACAAATTGACAGAACTTAATAATAAAGAGGGATGGAAATGAATTAACTGTATGTTTTGCACTTATTATTGTAATTAATTGCGTGATAGATTGAACCTGCAGCTGGTGCTGGAAGTTGAGCACCTCAGCAGCAAACGTAATAAAACATTCATAGATTGACATCAACAAACAATCTTCAAACAAATAAATCTAGTGTTTATATTTTGTTTTTGATTTCATTATGCTCATTATTGGATTAGTATTCTGAGTAAAAAGGTAGGTCATATGTTCAAAGGCAGATTTTCAATTTTCAAAAATTATATTCAAATTCGCAGCCATCTAGAGGTGCTATAAAATTTTGTACCTCAGACAAACCATGGTGGGGCTGAGGTGTTGTAGAGCCTCTAATGTAAAATCCCTCCCTGGCTTCTACTGTATTTCACATTCTTGGTAAATTAAGTTATATTTTTAGCCTATAATTATTAAGTAGTTATATTTAGCACTTTATACTCGAATTACTCAAGGTGTTGTGTTGACTACCTCATACAGTAACTTCCTTCTCCCCTTAAGTCTGAGTTACCCGGTAAACCGGTGCCAATTTCTCTAGTCTGTCCAAACCAAAGTGGCTGTTTAGACCAGTGCACTGAAGTGAAACACCCCTCCCCCCCCCCCCACCGGCCCCCCCCCCACCGGCCCCTTGTCTCAAAAGATGTACTGGCTTCTTTATACTGTAGTGTGCTAATTGTGTGCACTAGGACTACAGTTTAAAGTCCTTATCCAAGAGAACCAGAGACGAGCATGCCGTTCTAACCAGTGCCATGGCTGAAGGTTTTGGCACCCCTGCTTTAAGTCACAGCTCAGCCATTGGACTTGCATGATTAGTTGCTGTTGGGACAACTTGCTGTTATTAATATATTTGCAATTATAATTGCCATTGGTGATTTTTTTAAATAGGCCTAAATAATCAAATATATGAAAATAGCACCACTTTTAAAATACAGTAAATAGCTCAAACAGCTATAATTTAGCAGGTGAAACACCAACAACTTGCTTGACATAATCTATAAACCGTGGAACTCTCTTCACTTCAGATTTGATAACTTGCTTCAAATTCTGATTAACAGAATCATAACACACTGACTGAAGATTTCTCAATGTGTCTACCACAGAAAGCTGGATCTTTGTAGTCACTGTAATAAAACAAATTTATTATTATAATATTGTTAATGTTAGCTATCTTTCTTTGAAAGACATTGGCCACCAAATAGACACTGCTGTCTAACTGGTGAATAGTCACCAACCAAATACAAGCGTAGCAAAAGCAAAGCATGGTGTGTGTCTTCGAGAAGGGGCAATCATCAACTGAGTTTGGGGGGGGGCTACTTTCACAAGTGAATGTACGCAGACAACTCACTGGGTAGTTTGATGTAGCAGTAGTCAAACTTGGTTTTGATTTAGATACACAATATCATATCCCCTCAACTAAATGCTCTACTTTAAATAAACATCAGCTGGAATAAATATCCCTCCATCATCATTTGGAATAAATTGCCCCAAACAACTAAACAAAAACTAACAGTAGCAACAATATTTTTAACACCATTCCATCACCAAAGTATTAATTTAGTAGAGTTAATATTGCTACTGTAAACTGGAATTTCATTCCACTTCATTTATTTGTCTTAAAAACATTAACATTTACAAGAATATAAACAGCAAGCAACAAGCAAAAAGGAACATGAGACTGGAACACCCAAAAGTAATGTAAATCACAGGAGAGTGGGGTGCCATTTAAGTTGATAACATACAAGTTATTATGATTCATACAATAAAACTTTCATTAATAATTAATAATAAAAAGTCGTGTTTATTATAAGTATATTATAGTTATCCATTTTACACTCACAAAAAAATAAAAATCTCCCCTAAAATAAATGTGTCCCTCAAATATATGCCTCTGTCAGAAAACTCCCCTTCAAAAATCAAATAAATATGGTTCATTATTTAAGTATTTAAAATTAAATGTGTATGATGGATACCAGAGATCAAATGGCAAGTGACAACTTAAGATGTAATGAAAAGAGCAAATACAAAAAAAAAAATGAGAAGATATCAGAAATAGACGATGGAAATGGCTGGAGCAAGAACCAATGGAATGAAAGGGAACGCCGCATTGACATGGGCACCAAAATGAAAAAAACTGAGGATTAAATGATAGGAAAAGACGGAACCAAGGCAGGATTGACTCATGGGAAAATTGCTTTTTATATGCAATATATAAAAAAATGATATATTTATATAATGTATATGAGCTAGCATAAATATATATACTTATAATACATTAATATATATGAAGTCTTAATACTGTATACGATCACAAGCTCCTTAGATAAAGGGGTCCACTATTAGCATTAACAAGTACTGTAGGGTACAGTATTATTAATAATTATACAGCATGCTGGTTTAATAATTAATGATATATCTCACTGCAGAGGTGGACAAGTAAGAAATACTTATAAAAAAAAAAATACCATGGATGTATAATTAAATCCAGTGGAAAGATGAAAGAAAGGAAAATGAAGATTTTTACATTAGATAAAGTTCCCAGAGCCTTGAACTTTGTAGTAAGGTGCTAACCTTATGAACTTGGGTCACACAGATCACATGACCGATTATTAAGGCGTGGGTGACTACCATGGTAACAATGCTAAGTTAGTTATGTTGGATGGTAAAGCATTCAATTCTTAAACCCTGGTATAAAACTGTCTGCAATGATTGATAGCCTTTTTATACCCCTGTGAACAAGATTAAAAACAAAAAACAGCTGGCCCATATTAATAAGATCCATATTTAATGCTAAGTACTGATTAAAGAATATCAGTGCTTACTTAAGCCATGTGACCAAGAATGTCCCACCAAAATGCTTCAAAATGGCATCCATCAAGGTTGTAACTATGGCAACATCTAATATATCATATTCTATATTAATTAAAGTGACAACTATGTGAACTTAACAAGTTTTTTTTCATGAAAGATTAGTAGAGATGACTTTAGTAAAAGGAGTTGAGATTATCAAATTTTGCATGTACACTTATATCTTTAAAATATAGTTTTTTTGTGTTTTTTTTTTAGTCATGTCTTTTTTTTATTACTCTACTAATTGCTTTCAATATCCAATAACAAGACACAGATACGATATTCTACAGTATGTGGCAATACTTATTAACAATAGTAAAAGACTAAAGAGAAGTGTACAGTATATAGTTCTCTGCACTAGCACTATTAATAAGATGAAATTTCAATGAAAGTTTGATATAAATTATAACACTCAAATAATATAAAAAAAATTACATAATTATTTTTATAAATAATTGAGATTATAAAAAAATGAGATAAAAAGATGCATAAGGAGATGAATTTCATTTTCATGGTGAAATCATCAAACATTGTTGTAAACATAAGAAATGTTGCTATACTTCAAACTTTCGCAATTAGTTGATAAGGCCCCATAAAAAAAAATATTAGTTTATCCCCCTATCAAAGAATAAAAACTAATGAGGGGGGAGGTTTTTTTTTTTTTTTTTGCTAACCCCGCCCCCATTTTACCGATGTTCGCAAGTAAATCAATGGTTAAAAACAAATTTATAATAAGTCATTAAAAAAATGGAATCAAATTTATATTAAAAAAGATGTTTTTGTTGTACCAGTAAACAAATTTGCAAGAAATCCTGATGTTTCAAGTTAAAAAAGATGGAAAAATGACTTTTTGAGAAAAAATATATGTTGATTGAAAAAAAAAAAAAAAATCAAAATTTTCCTAAAAGTGATGAGGGAGGGGGTGATAAACTAATAATTTTTTTTATGGGGCCTAATTCTTCTTCTCACTGGGGTTACTAAGCTATAAAAATAGCCTATAGCCCTAACAAGTTTCATTGTACTGTACAGTCTGTTTGAAAGTGACCGAGCATTGAGTATGGTGGTGATTGTGAATGATAATTGATTGATCCTACATTCCACTGATTACATCACGTTGGACGTGTATGAGTGGAGTCTGAATAGGGCATGATAATAGCGTGTTTATTATTTTAGGGACTAAACAACAGTTATCCCAGATCAATATCCCATACAAACATATTGCCATTACAAAAACAAATATTTCACTTATTTGCATAAAGGGCTCATCTGTTTTATTCCAATGACTGTTAATGTTATCAAGCCTATTCAATTTGTTTAAAATGTTTTGACAGTATCGAACTTGTGTTAACTACTGTATCCTCTGACTCAATTCATTTCTAAGATTTTTTGTCCTCTCTAACATTTCACTGTCTTTTAACCTCATCTATCTGCACTGCCATTGGAAAAACCAATATTTAGGCTGTTTGTAAAGTTTATATTTTGATTCTAAAATACTCCCACCCTCACTATCCTATCCTAGCACTTTGCCCACTTTGAGTGAAAGAAGTCCAAAAATTTTACTTTAAAATGAATTGGAATTCTTTCCAAATTAATAATGCATTTTTCATAATACAAGATACAAAGTGACTATACTTCTCTCTGTTGTGTAATTATTTGTATTAGGCCCCAAACGCCCAGTTTTGGGGCCTCATACTTATATAACTATTGACACTGCATCATTATTAATTGCTGAACATAGATACACACACACAGAAATAAAAATTGTTCAAGCATACAAATCAATGGAGAAGAACCAGAACAAGGCAGAAACACAGAGGCGTAACTAGGGGGTGCTCACAGTGCCAGAATTCAAACAATAATAGTAAATGAATGTAAATAAATGGCAAAGAAAGTTTACTTTAGACATTAAAACAACAATTTATGGTGTAGTCATAGCCATAGATATGCTTCTTCCTTAGATCTGCTCCTTGCTGATGTAATATTTCGATTCAGCACCCCCTTTTCAAAACTCTAGATATGCCACTGAAACAGTAAGTAGCCCAAGAATCACTCTGAGTAGATTAGTAAGGGTTATTTGTGAAAAGAGGGATTCTCCTGGGTACTACGCCACACAGTGGCATCAGAAATTGAAAAAAAACAGGTCATTGTATTCTAAATTTAGATTTAAGAGCTATTTTTGAAGGAGTTTTACCCCCAGGATGTCAAATTTCCCTCAGTACTCAGCACACTCATAGTAACTCTTTGCTCAAGGGTATCAGGGTGACGTGTCCGGCAGGCATTGAGGTAACTTAAAACAACACAAAGTGGAAATGATAAACAAATGTGACCAAAATGATTTGCTTATTCACTGTAAGGAGGTGCAATTTTAAACTCTTTCAGGCTTAGATAAAGCAAACCTTTCAAAAAACCTGTTTTTTGTCTCGTTTTTTTTGGAAAAAAAGTACATGATAAGCACCCCTCTCACCATGACCACATTACAAAGCCAGACAATGGTATATCTACGAGGAGGTCTGAGGATTCAAAAGTGGTATATAACCATAACAATACAAAGTTTCACCACCATGCACACCAACTAAAAATTTTCTAAGCAAATAAATTACACAAGTTAAAAATTACACTGTTTTTCCAACTAGCAGGTTCCCCAACTTCACCTTCGTGACCCCCACCAGCTCCTCCCCTTAATGTCAATATTCCTAGGCACCCCACTGACGGCCTGCTTAGATACACAAGTATATACATTGCTAATGTCTAGAATTTTGCAGGGATTTTTGGATATTTTTCCACTTGCAAAATTAAGGCAACAAAACAATGTTTGTTTTTATTTAGCCTAAGGGGCCATCTCCATAATTTTCATCATTTTCAAAACATATGCTCTGGGGTGGAGGAAGGAGACTGAAAGCAAGGGAGGATCAAGAATTTTTCAAATGGGGAACACAACATATTCAGAATAGATAAGTGAGTAGCGCTAATTTCAGTATGCAATGAAATTTTAAAATTTAGTGATAAACTGGGATGGGGATATCCACCCCTGGAAAGTGCAGGCATATGTATTCTTCTATGAAAAGAATTAAGTGATCTTAAAATGACACAAATCAACATTTGATTGTGTACTCTTTCAGGAGGAGGATGGGGGGTCACAGAAAAGTGTAGAGT